CAGTATATATTTATGAAAGTATCCATATATTTTGCAAACAATGCTTTCGACATCAATTGGAAGTAAATCTGCAGCTTGTTATATAGCGTTATAAATTATGTGTGCAAAACATTCTATATCAAGTATATTTCAATCTAATGATTTTTCAACTTAATAAAAACATTATTTTTACCATGTCTAAGAATTCCTTCAAAATTAGTATTTGTATTGTCGGCCGAAAAGCTGTTTTTAAGATTAAAATTATTAATAACATGATTAAGTATTAATTTTGCAATTTCTCCAGGTAAATTGGAAAATTCAAGAATGTTGTTCTTACGTCTGCAGTAGTCAAAAAATAACGCACAATTATAAGCACTAACTTAATAATTTAATGATCCGATGTGTCTACAATAATTGAAACAAATTTAGCTTTATCTAATTCAGTTTTCATTAATTGTACAGTATACGGTGCAATAACATTTACTGCAATATCTCTAGTTTTAGTTCGGGAAGCAGTAAATTTTTTTTCAACATTTTTCTGATTAATTGAGAAGTACAAGTCATAGAGTTGAAACTTTGACTATTTACAATTGTGTGGTAAACAAATAAAACTTCTTTACACGCAAGTTTTAACGCATTTTCATCTGGTTTTAATGGAATAAAAAATGTACGTACCGAGCTATTGATAGCATTTTTGTATGTTCCATGTTTCTTTTGTTTTGAGATGATCATTTATATCAGATCGCCTACCATGGCTAACCGAAAACGAACTTAAACAAATTGTACATTAAACATCATAGTTGTTATCTGCTTCAACCGTTTTAATAAATTTAAATTTACTTTGAAAAGTTTCGTTAAATTTACATAGGCGTTTTGGGGCCATATCGCACTGTTTTCACGAAATATCGCACGACAAACACAGTCGTCAATACTACAACATTATTATAGTGTCTAGTGATTACTGAATAGTTCAGTACAACTGACAAAATATTAAATAATAAATGGTTGATCCGTTTAGTGATAACTAAAACTATGGTGACGGTCTACGGAACGAAAATACGAAGAACTTATTAAACAAAAATTAGCATCTCAGAGTTGGGAAAAAATTTAAAAATAGATTTTGTCGTTTATTCAACTTGTAGTAATGTAGTAATTTGTAAATTTTACAGGAACGATTAAAACCGAAAAATCTACTGTAAATTAATTTAAATGTTATCTGGAACCAGGGCCAGCCCAAGCAAAAATAGTGCACTAGGCAAAATCAAATTTTGCCACCTCTAAAAAAAAAAATTGAGTTTTTATTTTAACTTAGCCCTTCGTCCGACTTAAAAATTATTTCTATAATTATTACTCAAAAACCATCACTATCGCGACCGTCGAACATCGCAGAAGTAATTGTGTGGTTATTTATATTTTTGGAATAATCGAAAACGCCCAGCGTAGGTTGTAATATAATAACTTTAGACAATATTATTGTATCGTATAGGTAAGTGGTTTTCACGAATGAATTGATTTCAATATTTTTATATTTATTTTATTTTATTTTATATTTAAATATTTAAAACACCGATTGAACTAAAAAAATGTTTGAGTCTTATTCGAAAATGCCACCCCTACTAAAGTGTCGCTCTAGGCAGGTGTCTAGTTCGCCTATACCTTGAGACGACCATGTCTGGAACGCACGTAGCATGTTCTTACATATTAGTCTATTTTTTTTATAACGACCATAATTTTATTATTTTGTGAACTGTGTTCATTTATGAATTAAACTTAAACAAAATTATTTCAAATGTATGTTGCACGATCGTGATATCCGCACGTCGCTTGGCGTGTCAACTTATTTTGAACAGTGAAGTTTGTACGCGATAATTGTGCGCCATAAAAATATTTTAACAATTTTACGATTTTTAAAATAGATTGCTTCATTCATTCAGGACGTTATCTCGCAAAAACATATCCGAAAAAATATTACATATCACATTATTCCCGTCTACCCTCCAAATATCTAATAAAAGATAAGAGAAATTATTGAAGTCTCATTTTGGGACAATATGTTGTCCCGAAAGACATTATCGGAACACCGGGACGCCATACTCAATACCGGTACTGTCAAGGCCAAACTGGGACGTGTGGTAACCCTAGACTCGGCATTATGCAAAATTTATGTCAACGACATATATGAAGAAACTATGAAAAAGGGTGTCGATCGACGAAACAACCGACTCTGAGGGAAGATGTGTAGCTAACATTATAATAGGAACTTTAAATACCGACGCAACGGGAAAAAATTACCAACAGCCGAAATTTGGGAAAAAGCTAATAATTCGACGATAATAAAACATTTTGATCATTAAATGTTTGTTCTCTAGCCAAACAGAATTCGTCATGATAATGTTCTATTGTTTGTGACCGATGCCGTGCTATACATGTTGAAAGTTGGACGAACACTTCAATCTCTGTACTCTAAAATTAAAGAATAAAATAGTTACCTAACATATCTCGCACATGGTATCTTTAGAGTAATCGAAAACATACGGGAAAAACTTAAGAAAGTTGATACAAAAGAGCAACTTCTCTATTATATTATTTTATATTTTTAATACATATTAAAATGTTTATCAACTTTGTAACGATTGTTTATGAACTCAAAGAACAATTTTTTGTTTTGGTCATAAACACGTACTCTATTTTATTAAAATTACATAATAATAATAATAATAATATCTTTTAAGTAACAAATATCACATATAATACTGGAAACGGCATACTTAAATACATATATATAAATATAATACATATATACATATATAGTTACTAACCATTGTTAGTGTAGGCGGATAAATCGTATTCCATATACAAGTAGTAGGTAGTAATATTTATAAGACTCACTGTGACTACACTTGACACGGTCTCAGCTTGTTTGGGATGGTTTCTCGATGAGGTGGCCGGTCAAGATTCAGTTGTTTATTAGGGATTTGTCAATCATAAAAAAAAAAAAAAAACCAAAAATATGTTTGAAAAAGTGTATTTCACAATTTACAAAAAAAATAAGGTGAAAACCTGTTGCGGGTGTGCTTCGGTGACGGTGGTGAAAAAGACGACGACGACGGTCTGGCTTCCACGACGGTCACGAGCGAAAAGTTAGAGACTTGAGGTAACCGGTCGGTACGTTGCCACCGGTTCCCATAACTTTTCCTACCTCTGTCCGGTTTTTCGGGTTGGTGGATAGTATCGGAAACGGTGTTGTCGTTGCCCGGGTTGAAATTGGGTAAAGAGCGGGCGCGGCTCCGCATTAGTGGTGTGCTTAATGTACCTGCACCACAGCGGGAACCACGTCACACTGCTGTTGGGTGTTAACAGGATATTGATAGTACAGTTAATAGATGACGATAGCGGTGTAAACGGTCTCCATAGTTTAGTGATGCTGTGGCAGACCTCATGCACAGTAATGACCACAAGCTTAATGGTTTCAAAACGAAAGCTGTGTTCCGGTGTGAAAATCATACTCATCATGGCCTCTTCAGCTCAGCGGTCGGAATATGCCACAATCGTAGCGTACCAGCCCTATTTCTTCCCGTTGCGAGTAATAGCTTAGTATCAACGCTTGAATCATTCGTATCCTATTTTCTCGTTCTCTTCCTTTAACTTCATTCTATGGTTTCAGACCTACATGTGTATAATTCTATCTTGAATGTCAGAAAGGTTTGCTCACTTCACACATATTCTGTCCAGTGACTAACAATGTCGTAGGTTAACGGCCACCATTCATTCCCAGTACGAGTAATAATTCAGCGCGCTCTACTGTCAATTTCACAGTGCCGAGCGGCCGACAAACCGATGCCTTGCGCACGCACAGGCGCGTGATATATGCAACATTCAACGAGTGGCGCTATCTCATTACAACTTTTAACTACCATAAATAGGCATATTTTGTGATTTTTATCAACATTTAAAATTCAAACGCATATTTTTAAAAATTGTCATTGCAAATATTTGAGATTTTTTCACACGAGTAAGAACAATGTGTGAGAAACAATGTACCGAAATTCGAAAATCCGTGGCTAACCAAAATTATTTTTTTGACTTTTTATGAAAACAAAAATAGAATGGTGGCGAAACGATTTCAGCGGATAGTCTGACGGCAAAATTATCGCGGCGAAACGAACTAGACCCATAATAACGCTTTAAATAATTAAATTTAATGATGTAAATAAAATACAAAAGGCAAAGGGTACCGTTTTGTTACGTTACAAACTAAACTAAAATTCCTATCAAAAATTATTTAGAATTGTGATGATCTGAATAATCTTTCTGTAAAAAATCGTGTACACATATATACGTACAATAAAGAAATAGTGCTTGACAAAATAATTGATGGTTGACGATGAATGTTTCTCTATTGAAATTAAAATTTTCTGAAATTTTTTCTCTATTTTCCTCAATTATTCAAAAAAACTTCTGGTTAAAACCGTGTTCACAGACATAAAAACAAAAACACACATAACATGGTAAAAATAAAAACACATATATCATGGTAAAACTAACACATAACTCGTTTCACTCAGAACCTAAAATTCTATTATATTAAACACCTGCGACACGTTAAAATATATTCTAATTAGATGATATTCGGGACTTCAACTGACTTGCTGACAATATTTTGTTCATTATAATACTGTTGATTCATTATTTTGCATATAAATCAATAGCTGTTACCAATTCAATTAACACGTGAAATTCTAAGTAATTATACATAACGATTCGTATATAAACAGAAATTTGTTTTCACTTATCCGTCAGTAGTATTCTTGCCTAATTTTTAAATTTGAATAACAGAAATTATATAAGTTTTTGGAATTTTCTTCACAATTGAAATGAAATTCGTTAAATTTTTTTTTGTCATATGCATTGCATTATCAGTGTCCTCGTACGGTGACTTTAAAAACATTTATTTTTTAATATTTAAATTAAAGAAAAATCATATTTCAGGTCTCCGATTAAGGATGAAAATGAAAATTCCAAATTGAATAAAAAATCAAACACTGGTAAAAATAAAGGTAATATAATAAAATGCATAAAATAGATTAAGTACAACTGTAAATTATTATTATTATTATTATTATTATTATTAACTGTGCCTTATATTTTTATCTAAATCACGTACGACGATATTAAATTCTACCGTCACAAATATTGAACTAACATTTTTAACTAACTTAACCGTTTTTGTTGTGAAGAAAAGTACGTATAATAGTACAGTAAACAATAATACATAAAGCTAAATAGTCATAGGTGATTGTCAGTTTTTAATTTTTTAAATTTAACCTGATCATAAATTCCTTTTTTCACATTAATGACAGTTGTTTATTAATTAGTTAATTTATATTGATTAATAATTAGAATTAGAATATAAATTGAATACATATATAGAATATAATCAAAAGTATAATTTGAATTAGTAATTAGAAATAATGTTCAATTTTAAAAAACCAATATTACTTTAGATAAATAATCCAGTTTAATATTTTGTAGTTAAAAAATTGATTATAAGGCAACTATGGTAATTTTCTAAAAACTACAAGTAGCTTATGAGATAATGATAATGTGATTTTTAATTAATTTATATTTTTCACTAACAATAAAATTTAATAAGAGACGAGCAGTTATAATTATTTTTGTTTTAAAACTTTTAATAATGTAAGTATTCGTTAATTTTGAATGTCAACCCAGTTTTATACTTGAAAAATGGTCACATGAATATAAGTGTACTTACCTATTTTTTTTTTTTTTTAAGGTGTAACGTTAAATTTGCACATTTTATATATATATATATTATACCAGTTTTCTTGAATCTTTTTACAAAAATATAATCACACAAATACTATATTCATCGTCTAATATTAATTTATTGCAAAACTTCGTTATAAATCATTTCCTTTTTGGTCCGGTCGAGAACTTTAAATAAAAAATGTATTGGAATAAGATTCATAACGAAATAAAACTTAAGATAATTAATTTAAAAATAGAGTTTAATTAAATTTTACATTCATATTTTTTTTAACAATAATTCACTATTGAGGTTTATTATTTACCATGTTTTTAACTTTTTAGGGAGTGTTCTCGGGAACTATAACATATTTGGTAATAGTAATCTGCCCGTGAATTCAAACACCTTTACAACTAACGGAAGGACCTTCGTGAATAATGGAGAATATGAAATTTTCCATGGTGGTGATAAAACCTTAAGTAAATATTTTCATGTTTTTAATAAGTATAAAATGCCAAAAATAATAATAATAGTATTTATATTAAAAAAAAAAAAAATAATAGAAAATATTCATTTTTGGTAAGCCCTTCAGGTTGGCTTTTGTACTCAGCCTTTTTAGAATTTAATTTCGACCATTAGGTAGATTTTGATGGTAAATTCACAATTATGATGATCACTTCAAATATAGTCTGTAATTATTCTAACGTTAACGTTTATCATTATGTATATTTTATTTTTATTTAAACAGAAACGCCTACTGGTATTTATACTAGATTGAAAGGATGGAAAAAATTATCAGAAAAGGAAAAATTATCAGTCCAGAAAAAAATAGCAGGATTCGATAAAGAAATGAAAAATTCCATGGAATCACTTGAATCATCAGAGTCCCCTGAATCATCAAAATCATTTGAACTATCACAATCACCTGAATCATCAGAATATAAGGCATCTAACGGATCTAATGAATCGAATCAAATTGTTAGTCCAAAAAAATCAGGAAAACTAAAGGATAATATTCTTAACCCTGGAAATAACCAGAGAAACAATAATAATCTACAGGACAAGAAAAAGTAAGACTTTTTTGTTTAGATACTAAGTAATATAAAATTGTTCGAATTTATATATAGAGTACAGTTTGTATATATATATATTATATATGTAATATAAATAAATATATAACAGGATAATTTTGGAATTAAGAAGTAACTATTTAGTAACACTTAACTTGAGTATAAATTAAAATAAAAAACATTTAGTCTACGATTTGATAGAGAAAGAAGAGAAAGATAATAAAAAAATTAAAAAAAATATTCTAAGCAGATCTCTACACCATATTCTAAAAAATATAATCTTCGTTTCTAAGGTTGTATATTAAAATTCTATAAAGGTTAATCACTACAAACTCAACTCTAAAGCTTGGCGTTGAAATCACCACCAATGTAAAATTATTTTTGATTGTTCTAAAATAATCGTAATGTATTGGTTTAGTTGTATTATAATGAAGAGAGAAGTAAAACACTCTAATCATAATGGGTATGGTATTCGATTTAAACATATTGGAGTAAGATTGGATAAGATCATAATTATAATTAGGAGAATTTTAAAAAATAAGGACTATTTAATTAGTTATGAAATTCCCCCTAGTACTTTCGGTTATAAACACAATATCAATTTATCATAAAATAATATTAAAATTATAATAATGAATAGTAGTAAAATAATAAAATCGTTTGGAGTTCTTTAATGTTCTTTCAATAATTGTTGAGACAATTTGCATTCAACTGCAAAATCAAGAGTGAATTATTTGTGTCTGAGTTATTAATTTAGATTTTTCTAATAAACTGGTTATTATTTTCGTGAATAGTAAAGTTAAAAAATATGTTAAAATTTTGAAATTATTTACGAAGCTTGACATAAGAAAATTTAAATTTGGTTCAGTAGGTGGTGAAGAATTGTGTTCTTATGATAGTGAAGTATGCTGAGTAGATTGGCCGGATATTATCCTTGTATAAGTTTTTGATAGAGCTGGTGTATGGTACGTGAGGGAGCAACTTAATGAGTGGTAATATTTTACATCATTAAACTAAAGATAAGAATTGTTTTATAGAAAAAAAAATATATATATATATATAAACTAAGTGTTATATGAGTTGTGTTTCTTACGGCGTTGTAGAACATTATATATATATACAATATTTGTAATCCATTGGATAGTTTTTTAACAGAGTATATATCGTAGAGGTTCATCCCAAAATGTAGAGTAGGCAGATGAGTGATAAGTAACGCAGCGTACGTAGACTGGCGAATAGCCATAATACGCCTTTAAGTATCCATAATCTTGACAGTTTGAAAATTTGTAGATAGGTTTTGATTTGTAAAGATCTTTAAATGTAATTTTAGTACAGAGAAAATAAATTGAAATATTTCATTTAAGTAAGATATAAGTTCTAAGTCGAAAATAAATGGCAACGAATTTTTATGAAGTCACATTAAGTGCACATAGCATCAATACAGGACATAAATAGGGCTCAGATTTTAAAGGAAATGCTTCTTTTTTTTATATATGAGATAGAACTCTAATTTTTAAATATAAATTCGTTTCACGTCTTTCTGTTCCCAAATAAACCAATTTATTTTTGCTTTTTTTGACTTTTTTTTGTGTAAATGTTTTTTTTTTTTGCTTTTTTTATTGCTTTTTCAGTAATTCCAGCTGTGGAAGTTGTATATGTTTATTATACTACAGTAATAAAGAAAAAAAAAATTATTTAATTAATAACAAATTTGAAAATCCGGAATGCGGACTAAATGGTTGTATTGGATTATTATTGTATTCGGCTCAATTGTTAAATTTATTAAACGTACAGATTATCCATTTGTAGACAGTTAGATCGTTGACAAAATGTATAAATATTGTCTTAGATACAAAAAAGAAATTAAATACTTCAGGTGGCGGGTCAAGTGAGTTGCTCTATCGGGTAAAGTGTAATTGTTGACATTGAGAATATGGACTGTATGAAAAACTCAATTTTTTTTTTATATTATATACTCGCTTTATTCGTAATAAAGATCACATTGATATGGCCTATTGCTTCGAAGCAGGTGGAGCACATACACTACCGACTATCATCGTGGCACTGACCGAGCAGTCCGCAATAATCTACAAGCGTATATAGATATGATATATTTAGATATAAAAGATAAAATGTGCGTCAACAGCAATAATGGAATTTTCTAATGAAGAATTAAGTCTTATATTATTTATTTTATGCAAATTATTATCTAATATCGTATGTTGTTATTTTCAGCGTTAGAAAATCATCATCTGTATCTTTTGAGAACTCCAACACTAACGGTAATTGGTTAAATATTTGTAGTAAATACATCTATAAATATTAATATTGGAACTATTTGAACTATCCGAATGCTCGGATATTTAAAAATCCGGATAAAATTAATTTGGATATCCATAATTCGAATATATATTAATATTCATATATTTTCCGGATATATTATATTATACGTAACATGCACATGTACCGGGGAACGTCTTCAGGTCAATTCCATGAAGGGTGAGACGAACTTTTTTACTTAGGCTGAATTCAAACCAACAAAAATATTATAATAGTCCCCCAATAGTTTTTTAAATTTTATCAGCTTAAACTAAATATCTATCGTACAAATACAATAAAATAATAAAATTTAAAAATAATTAAATTCACATTGAGTTTATAAATAATAATAATAATAATAATTGATATTTAATTTTAAAAAAATACTAGGATTTTTTTGTTCGAAATAGTAAAACTATCAATTTTATTTACATTGATACTATCATTTTTATATATATTGAAAATGGTAGAATAAGATTGTGTACGTTTGTCCTTTTTGGTAACACGATTGCGTACGTTTTTAGATGAGAAACAAAAAGGTGGGTAAGAAAAATAAATAAACAGGATTGCGTATGAAATTGTATGCAACCCTTTGTCAAATTTACTAATTTCACTAATAATAGTAAAAATATTAGAGATCAACAAAAAAAAATAAATAATAAAAAACATAAACAATAAATATAAACATAAACAATAAACATATACGAACAGTTCTAATAAATATAGACAGAAACAATAAATATAACAGTTCTATAATAGTTCATAAAAAAAATTAATAATAAAATAATAAATAAAATAAAGATAACAAAATAAAAGAAAAGTAATTAAATAAAATCGACAGTTTTTTATGTGAATGAAATTATTGTTAGTATATTATTTGAAAATGCTTAAATTTGAGTTCCTTGACATATATAATTTACTGCTTATACTGAAACTCGGAAAATACCGTATAATGTAATAGAAATAATGAAATTTCGTTATATCTGATATATTATTAATATAATTAACAATAAACATAGGTAATATAAGCAATAAAATACAAAGTATTTATTAAGTTTTAAAAGTTCGTATAGGCATATGATATACACCAATACCGATATGAAAATTGGCACCAACGTTTAAAACTTCATACGCAATCGTGTAGAATCAGCTAAAATCAAGTAAAATCGTACGGAATCATGTAGCTTAAAAAGGTATTGCCGATAACGAACGTACATAATCGTGTTTTACCCATTGAAAACCGCTAATTTAATCAGCACTCATAAATTTTTAATCTAATAAACAATACATCAAAACAATAATAAACATAAGTTATAAGCGTTAAATCATTTATTTACTCAAATACGTAAATACGAATAATAAGTTGGGAAATGAAATAGCGTTTATTAATAAATAACTTATTTACTACAGTTAATATTAAATTATAATAACCAAATTGAAATAAAGATGTTAGAAATTTTTAGTTTTGGTAAAATATAAGTGTACTTATTAGTAGTAGAATTTACAGCATGTATTTTTATCAAATTAAAGAATTTATTGGAATACCTATATTAAATCGTAAGAATTAAAATGAAAATAATAATAATAATAATGTCATAATGTGTACACTGATAACAATAATTACAAAGTTTTTATTAAATATGGGAGACCGCTAATGAATCATTTTTAATTATGAATGAATTATGAATTGTTATAACAATGTTTATCTTTATGTAGTACCAGTTATTCGTACATCAAAACATTGCCGGGGTTATATTTCAAATAATTCATTTTTCGACTTGATCAGTAATTTATCTGGAATTATATTGATTAATAATTGGAAGTAGAATACATAAAGTTCGTATATAAGTATATAACTAAAAGTATAATTTGAAATAGCAATTGGAAATAATAAAAATAATTTATAATAGTATATTACTAACTATAAATTATAACTATTATTATTATAATAATAAATTATCAATTTTAACAAAAAATATTACTTTAGATAAATAATCAACTTTGATGTCTTGTAGCTAGAAAAATTGATTATAAGGCAATTACAGTAATTTTGTATAAATTACAAATAAATTTGTGACAATGATGAGTCCTAGTTAATTTATATTTTTCACAATTTCATTTACAAGAAACCAACAGTTATAATTATTTTTCTTGACCATGTAAGTGTTCTTTCATTTTGAGTGTTAACCCAGTTTTATGCTTGAAAATTTTTTAAATAAATACAAGTGCATTGTTATTTTTTTTTTATTTGTAACGTTTAATTTACATATTTGATAAGCTATAATTTTATATTTATATTTTAAACCAGCTTTCTTAAAATCTTTTAACAAAAATATGATTATATATATACTTTATTCATCGTATAATATTAATTGAGTTGCAAAAATTCGTGATAAATGAGTTCCCTTTTGATCCGGTTAAGAACTTTAAATAAATATTTGATTGTAATAAATCTTTTAGTAAAATAAAACTTAAGGTAAATGCATTAAGTAAAATTTAGAAATTTTTTTTTTAATAATTCACGGTTAACGTTTATTATTTGCTATGTCTTTAACTTTTTAGGGAATATTTTCGGGAACAATTACTTATTTGGTAATAGTAATCTGCCCGTGAATTCAAACACCTTTACAACTAACGGAAGGACCTTCGTGAATAATGGAGAATATGAAATTTTCTATGGTGGTGATCGAATTTTAAGTAAATATTCTAATATTCTTAAAATATATAAAACGACAATAATAATACTAATAATAGTATTTATATTAAAAAAATAATATAAAAAATATTCATTTTTGGTGAGCCCTTTACGTTGGCTCTCAAAAATTAACTGATAATAAAATTATTTTTTATTTTTTAAATAACTCAGAATAAATTATCAAACACAAACACAGAATTTTGTACTCAGCTTTTTAGAATTTAATATCGACAATCACATAGATTCTGATTGTAAATTCACAATTATAATGATTATTTCAAATATAGTATGTTATTATTCTTACGTTAACGTTTATCATTATGTGTATTTTATTTTTATTTAAACAGAAACGTCTACTGGTATTTATACCGGATTGAAAGGATGGAAAAAATTATCAGAAAAGGAAAAATTATCAGTACAAAAAAAAATAGCAGGATTCAATAAAACAATGGGAAATTTAATGGTATCAACTTTATCACCAGAATATGAAGAATCTGATGTGTCCAGTGGATGGGGTTGGCTGGGTTGGCTATTTAAGAATTTCAGATTGTTTAGATATTTCAATGGAAATAATTATCAAAAAAAGTAAAAACTCTTTAAGTTTTGTTCATTATTAATGCTATAACATCAAATAGTAATTAACCACGTAGACCACGTTTATATAATTCAATATATCGATTATTCCCTTTTTTGTTACAATAACATTTTATTCCAATAATACAAACCAATTTTTTTTTATTACTTAATTTGATTAATTTTGAACAAATTTACTCGTAGGCACGCGTTATTATTGAATTCAGAATATGTTTTCAAAATATTTTCCCTCAACCTCACGTTATTTTTTTTTTTTCATTTAATGTCTATGTAAACTAGGGGTGGTCAAAAAACATAAATGTTTTAGCTCTATGTATCGATGATTTGATTTCGATTAATCGATTCAACATCGATGTTTATGTTCAAAATGTTCGATTTTTTTTGTTTATATTATTTTAGTATACAGTTTATAACAATCGTTATCAGTGTTGGGACTTATCTAGATAAATTATCTAGGTAGATTTTTTGTCATCTTTTATCTTATCTAGATAATTGTCTGTATTCTTGCAAAGATTAGGGTTATTTTTACTCTTGTACGGAGACGAATCCAACAAATCAGAGATCATGAAAATCGGTCCAGCCGTTCTTGAATTATAAATTCTGTAACTAACCCGACTTTCTTTTATATATATAGATTTTGTATTTATAATCATAATTCGTGTATTATTAATAATCAATTATTATTTCTTGGTATAACATTTTGTTTGTATTTTCATGTCGTGAAAAATATTTTTGATATTTTCAAACTTAATTTCTTATTTTTCCACGGAAGTTCCAAATATAGTAAGTATTTGATTTTAGTAAATACATGTAAATCATACGCTGAATAGTTAATACTTCACTCTTGGAACCCGTAAAGTTGTAACTACTTATAGAATAATGAAAATCATCAAATTAAGATTATATGGAAAACAATATTGTTTACTTAAAATAATTTTTTATATTTTATTTTGTATTCTTCCTGATACGTACAAAGCAATTTTTATTTTTTTTTTTTGTGTAACATTTTAGTAATTAACTATCATTAAATATTATACATTGTATATAATTACTGCTTAATGATACACTATATTACTACAATAAACATTAAACAACTAGATACTTATTGATAATAATGATTATAATTGAGTTTTCATAGATATTATTACAAATATGAAATATTGACCAAGAAATAAAATTTTTTGAAAATATCTTTTTTTTTATATAGATAAAAATGAAATTATCTTTTATCTTTATCTAGATATTTTAACTTTTTTTATCTATTATCTTTATCTAGATGAATGTGGACATATTATCTTCATCTTTATCTAGATAAATTTTGCATTATCTATTCCCAACACTGATCGTTATACAGTAAACATTATACAGTTATAATCTGTACTCGTAAGTTCATGCACTAAAAAATGCATTAAAAATCCTTAACTATGTACGAAAAGAAATGTATAAGCATTTTTTAAAATAATAAGAATTATCCATTCATATTTTTAATAGTTATATTTCTTCTTCGGTTACATTCTATTAAAATTATAATTAAACAACATATGTTATGACGAAAATAGATAGATTGCAGTTGACACGTCAATAGGAGGAGAGTGGTAGTGATGCGCAATAACATTGTTTCCGTGGTTTTCGCTTTTATCTTATAAAACGTAATGTCATAAAAAAATAAAAATATTGATAAAATAATAAAATTTTTTAAAATCGGAAAAGTAAATAAGAATGAATTCAATAATTTATTGGTTTAATTTTTTTTTTTGGCATCCACGAAAAACGATTTGCTGAATTTATATAAAATAATATGCGCTAATAACTCAAAAATATCAACTATATGCCAAATATGCCAATACACACAAAACATTCAAAAACATGCTCTATTCAACTTTAGATTTTTATTATCATTATAACGAAACGGATTTTTATTTTAATTAGCATATTTTCCGATGAAGCAATGAAGACATGTAAATATATGAACTTACGAGCCCTGATTGTAATTATTTAATATATATTCAAAAAATATAAGTTAAAAAATAACATTTTAACTCTTAAATTTATTATTGAATCGGGAAAATAGTACACTGTACTTATAATAAGGTGTGCAACAGATGGCAGCTCTAGATGGAAAAAATTTTTTTTCAATGTTTTTAAACTTCAATAGTTTTCACCTATACATTGAACACATCGATATTTTAAGAATCGATGTATCGATACATCGAATATCGATGTTCAAACAATTTTACCCATTCCTAATGAATACTGACTTTTATTTTCATTAATTGTATCTTATTTTTGAATATTTCAAAAGTCTATTCTTATATTCACCTTTGCTACATATTAATAGTTATTAGTAAAAAAATTTTACATTATTGTAAAACGATTTTAAAACATTATTTAAATGTATAGGTAGTTATTACAAATTTACTTTATCATCTAAAAACGTTACTTTAAAACAAAGAAACGCGTTAATAAGCACTATGACTTTGGAATAAAATACATTTAATATCTGTCTAATATAATTTTGTTTAATTTAATTGAATATACAAATAAACAAAATTAAATTAAAATTTTTCAAAAGAAAGTGATCATATTTTTTCGAGAACACTTTGAATTATGTTTAATGTACAATAAATCAATTACAATTATATACATTTTTTACATTATAAAACAATTTCGTTGAACCACTTTCAGAAATGATAGCCCATGGTAATATATTTATTCAACAGTTGAAAGGATTTCGCAATAATATTTCTTTCCTCCAAAAATTTTAATAGTTATGATTTTTATAATGTGATAAATATTATATACAAAAATAAATATTTATTTATTTATGTATACTCTTTCTTTGTATTTCTATTTTTTTAAATGAAGTTGTAAAATTTCCAAAAGAAAAAATTCTACCTAGATGAAAGTTTAATTTTTCTTACATTACCTGATATTATTAAATAGTAAAAACTAAAAAAATAATTTGTATTATTATTTCAGTACGAAAAATTATGGAATAGCAAATGCTGATAATAGTTACATTGGAACTTATGGAAACGTCAATTTTTAATAAAAACAAAAAAAGTTAACCAAAATTAGTAAGCAATAGAATCTAGTATAATTTTTAAAACAATAAAACATTGATAAGTATTTACAAAAGTCACAATTTAACAATTAACAATTTATGATTCGTAGTTGAAATCAATCGTACACTGTATTTGAAGCTTTACATTAGAAGTAAAACTGTAGTATTTACTTATTATTTAATTTAAATACATATGTTGAACTATAATAATATTACAAAGTACGATGTGAATATTATTATAAGATAAAATTAAAAATATAATAATAATAACTTTATTTATTATAATGGCCCATTTTTTTTTATAGATTTATATAATACCGACTATGGAAATTCAAAACCTATGAAAATCAAACTACATTTTCTCAATAGCTCTATGCCAAGTATCCAACTGTGAAAAAGTGTTTTTACAATAATAATTATAATAGTATTCGAAGCAATAAAAATATAAGAAATATAAAGAGTGAATTTAGATCTATCAATATTAGACATGTTTATTAAAGTTAATTAATAAAAAAAATTCTATTATACACATTAAACGACAAAGAAATATTTTTTTAAGCACCATTTAAACAAACAATATATGCTAATGAATAATTTTTCAAATATAAAATAAATTAAATAATTATCTGATGTATATTGCTTTGGAAAACTTAACAGATAAAATGTTTGGAACGAACGCCATAAATTTCAGTAATACTTGAGTGGAGGCTTATAAAGCTATGACAATATAAAAAAAGTATAATATGAATGAATAATGATGATCTTATAGACAGTGGTGTATTTATGGTTTAGGGGGGGGGGGGGGGGCTGGGGGTTTCCACCCCAAAAAAAAATAAAAAAAATAATAATATTTGAAACCGACAAATTTTAAACATAGCAGTAATATAATAATTTTAGTTTGTTTATTTAATATAGTATTTAAGTACAATGAAATATATATATATATATAAAAATATTACTATCGCTAATAATTAAATTGTAATCGGATAATAATAATAGCAATCGACCGCACGGCACTCACAAACACATGGTATATAAATAATCTGATGTGAGGAAATTATCGGTCGATATGTTGATGTCCTTGCCATACTATCGATTCATCAAGATTTAGACTTTCAAACCGATAAAGTTATTGATGATTTGACAAATAAAAACTAAAACTAGAATTTATAATATAATTTGTAATTTTGTTATAGTAGTTTGTCAATAGTTTGATTTCAATAAGTTAATAAAATACCTAACAATTAGTTGATAAAGAACATTTTATATTAATTTATAAAATTATTTCAATATTAGGCATGACACCCCCCACTCTAAAAAGTTTCTAAATACGCCACTGTTTACATAGTATGATAATAAACCAACCTTAGCAAAATAAATAATTTAGGTTTAAAAATAAAAAATACGTGTTAAAAGTTAGTATTACCCACAAGTTTAAAAATTATTTTATAATAATTAAATGTTCAAAAATACCTTGTATACTGAGAACTTATACAAATAAAATTAACGATTATGTACCTTCTTAGTTGATAGACATTCAAACTAGTTTTTGCCGTAAATTAAAAAAAAACTTTTAACAGTAGGTTTTTAGTGATATTACCGGTACAAATAAGAATACAAACATTTTTAAGTTTAATCAAATTATTTTAGTTATATTGATTGAACCAAACAGGTAAATATTTTAAGTAATCGATATTACTGGTGTCTTTAATTCTTAGATCGGTGGTCCATTGGAACATTGCTTGCCATTGGCTTCCTTAATTTTTTTAAACTATATGTATACTATTATATGTGATAATATTTCTATATACATGTTTAAATATATTTTTACATAATCCGACTCTTAATTAATTTAGTAAAAGAATTAATATAAGCTTTGGTGCGTAAGCTTGTTTCAATTTCCGACATTAAAAACGTCGCCACCACCACGTCTTCGACCTTTTATTTCTTCTTTCGGCATCAAATCCATCAAAACGTCATTCCACAGCTCCTTTTTGATATCTAGCTTGTAATACTCAATGTAATACTTATCCCGAAGCTCCAATTCAACTTTCATCTTAAATATTGCCGAAGTTGCATCGTTCCACAGCCACGATAATTCAGTCTTCAACGATGACCGTTTGGCGGACGTGGTTAAAAGAGGTCAAGGCAGTGATATCTTTACTGAATCGTTTGTCAACCTTTTTATCACCGGATGATGATCGCACAAACCGAATTTTGGCCACCGTAAAACATTTTTTATGCATTACGCACTTGCACGCTGTCATACATGAAAATTTCAATTTATGGTTAGAGCATGGTATTTTTCTGAATACCACGAGTACGTCAAAAAATAGAGTGAGAATGATTTTGATCAACAAATTGTATTTTTTAGAAATGTTTGTTTTTTATATCAATATCATATCCATAGTCATACATGTTTGACTTACCCAAACATTTAACCATTTTCCTGATTCCAAAGAGACCTTTCTTCCTACACAATGAGCATTTCTTTGTCGTGTATATCAGCTTTTTTACTTGTAGGTGGCCGATCACAATGCAGATACAGCTTGCTTTTATATTGTTCATCGTGTTATGAGGTTTACTTATTACAATACAATTAAAACAATATATAAACAATGTGATGTACTCCAGGTATGTTAGAAATGAATATACTACACAATGAATTCGTAATACAGGACAAAAAAACGAATTAGACCAATGCCAAAAATAGGTTTTTAAGATAATGAAAAGGAGGGGTCGAATTGGTAATAATCATACAACGACGAAGTGGTTTATTTAGACCATAATTATTTGAGGAGGTTGGTAAAATAAAAATGGTGTGTTGACGAGTGAAGCGAGGAGGAACATTTAAAATGAATTAGAGAGAGTAGATGAGTCAATCTGTCCATTTAATAATTTATTAAGAAATTTAAGGTTAGCAGCACGCCTTCGATCTTCCAGCGAATCTAGTTAGAGATGCCTGAGTACTTGTGAATAGTGATGAGGAGGACATTCAATAACCTACCTGAGATTGAAAAAATATTTTGATCGCAATCTTTAAATATTTAGAAAAATATAACTAGTATAAGAAGTAGTGGGTTTCTTGTTAGAATATTTTCGCAACTATGAAAGGTAAAAATAGATGTCTTTTAACCCTGATCAGAAATGTTATGTTATTAAATAGGGGAATCGGATTTAAGGATGGACGTTGAATTATTCGAATAAATGTACGTTTACGTTACGCCATAATCATTATGACGGTTATACTCGTTGCTGTCCATCACCTCGAAACCCGCATTCCTTAGTCATATAGCATCACGTGCACATCACACCATTTATACCTTTATGATGGTATTTTTCATGTGCCACGTTACGTGTATGGTAGCAAGATCGTTGGGTCATACGTTATACCAATCGGTCAAGTAATGTTATTAGTGTACTAGTACGGTGATGAAGGGGTTAATCGAAAGGTGGTCGGCTCTCAGTTTTCTGACGCGTGGTCGGTGGATGGACAATAATTTAATTTCGTTATAGTTATGGATGCAGGAAAATAACGTACAAAAACATATTTCGATAACGATATAATTGAAAGCTAGTGTTCAGTAACCACTAACACAAAGTCAGCAAACACGCGTTATAAACGAGCAATACATTTAATACAGTGTCAGCCGACTATCATATGCGAAATAAAAATAAATAATTTAATACGGTATTCATCATAGAGGCCTCTAGTGTTGTTAGTTATTACTAATAACTTATTAGGTACAGTAGGTTTTAGGAGTATTGTTTTGATTTTTATATGGGGTTATTATTCAGTAGGATAAACCGAAGATTGATAAGCGGTAGGTAGACGAGCGGACAGTTATCGAAAAATATATTTGCTTCTGAAAATATTTGAGTTCGCCACGCCACTATTCCCTGAAATATAACAATATAAAATACATTATGCTCGTCTTTTTTCAATTAACCACCTTCGCCCGACTATAGTCGTCATTCCTCTACATTTGTTGTCATTTTTAATTTGTCATTCATTAATCATTATGTAAAAGAGGGAATTAAATCGGACGCAGACCACCTCTTTACACGGGGTGTTACCTCACCCTCGTCTGCTTACGCCGAGTGTACAATGTGGTATATGGAAAAGGTGACCAATACGTATAATGAATAAAAATAACACTCAACTCAAATATATAATGACGGGCCTTCAGCACCGCCGTAATATTAAAATTGACTGAACAGTATAATAAACAAATAATAATATAAATATATGATAGTGAATACAATCGGTTATATCACCAGTCCACGTCAGCAGCTGTTGGAATATCACCTCCGGCAGTGTTGCCCCATTCGATGCACGGACGACAGCATTCAAGCACTGACCGGAACTATACAATAAATCCAGGAGGGGGGGGATCTCACGAGGTTACTACGCCCACCACGACACCACTGACAAGACAAACCGAGACGTATTTCTCAATTTCGCACCAACTCACGCGAATCCGCACACCGCGGCGTGACACTACGGACAACGGCGGCACTCACGTTCAACTGCGCACACTCGAACTTTCGTCAGCGGCACACGCACTGGAGACGGCAGCGAAACGACGTCCTACACTTGACAGCCGTGTACGGTACGACAGATCACACGATGGGCACGCACGACGAAGGCGGCGGTATGCGACGGCAGGCGATCACGTCTTACGCGCCTGGCCGTACGACCGTGTGAACTGTATACGACAGACTCGGAAAACGATATCGCACTATCGTCCCGGTGTCCCGTGCAATAAAAATGAGTTGGTGCGGGAGTGGAGGTATATGCGATAGAACGTTCTAGAAGAACGAAAATAGTTCATTATCGCATATACCTGGATATCGCGACGGTGTGGCGACAACAAGCGTGTATTTTAGACACATTATATGTATAAAGTTATAACTTGTTGGTTAGTTTTAGTTCACTATTTAAACATGGAAGAATTTTTAATTCAATTAAATCATAAAAATAAAAACTGCGCAAAGACGTCCATGTGAAACGGGCCTAATGGTGACTTATAATTACACGCGTTGGCATCAACGGTTCATCTGACATTGAGATGATGGTAAGTCCACCTGATTCTTCCGCGGCTTCTGAATAGCCCTCAGGACTAAATACGACTAAACATGTAGTCCGTTAGTCGTCATCAAATCCAGATATTCACCTGCTGCTGCATACGCGCTAATAGAAAAACAGATCAATGAACTAAAAATCAGTGTTCAATACTCCGTCGAAAAAGTCACTCATTTTTGATAGTTAATTAGTAATTAATAATTACCATTAAAATGTTTATAGGCTAAAATAATAATTTTGTGCTGATACAAAACACGAAAAGTTGTTCATAGGGAAAAAAACCGATCACAGTCCTTGCTTCATTAAAAAACTTCAATTGACTTGTACATCATCACGATACGGTTGAATGAAGATGTGCACTTACAACGATTTCATTACAATGCAATAGCGTTTTCGGATTAGATGTTTCGTCATGTGCTCTTGTATATCTTGATTTTTTTGTGGTCACACACAACTCGTATATATGCAAGCGGCCGTAAATAATATGATCCGGCTCATACGTACATTGATTACAGATTGATTAGTACACAGCCAAACTTCATATTAAATATTTATCTACATTCGCATCGGATGTGTTGATTTTTAATTTGGTTTATTTTTCTTCACGTCACTATTGGACAGCGACATACTGACCAGTGAGTTATTAGCATTTGTAATAACAGTAGCTTTACGCTAAAGTGTTCTACATGTATTATAATATATGGTATAAATACATAGTATACTATACCATACTTACACGTGCGCACACGTACTCTGTGGTGTATTTACGTGCAGGCACGTACCTATAACGGCATGTTTAAGGCGTGGATAATTTGAATAGGACATTAGATTATAACTATCACAGGAAATCTATTTTTAATTGCATGAAAGTACCATAATATTATCAACTCTCGGCGGCCGTTGGTTCCATGAATATTTTATTGACAGTTGTTTCACAGACCTTTCTGTGAGAAATATTTTGATTCATATTTTGTTTTACCGATGAACGACTTAATTACCCGTTTAATAAATAAATAAAATATTAAAAACGAAATAAATCAAAGCCGAGGTTTGCTATGGCTGACTCAAATTTATTTATAAATACAAAATACGTATTTTTCACTGGTAACCATATGAACACACCCCTGCACGTATAGCATGTGGTATCATACGGAAGTGGAAGTTGACTGACTTATATTCATTATACAAACGAGGGCGGATCACGTAGTGCGCGCGTCTACAAACGTGTTTATAGGTCAACCGCATAAATAAATACCACCGCAGTGGTCGTGTTATTGCGATGGACTTACGAAACCGATGATGTTATTGTTTTTAATTTTACGCATTCGTATCGATTGTGTCTGGTTATGGCTCTTGGTGCGCGTGTAGCGTCCACACGACTATAGGTCTTGTGGTTGTACAAATCTGTATCCTAGCAACAATATTTTGCGTACACTCGTACCGGGGTGCAGGTGGTTGGTTCGTGAGCAGCAGAACAGTCCGTTCGTGAATGCATCGAACCTGCCGCACAGTACTGCAGTACGATCCGTCTGTGCGTCGCAAATCGATATCGCATTTTTACGTCTTCCCTTCGTTTCTTTTTCCGATCGTGTAACTCTTGCGAAGTCTTTGCGCGTTTCTCTTGTTTTTGTCCTCGTGATCGCGGAGTCGCGGAAGTATCGCGCACATACGCTTACGTCGAGCGTGTTCGTTATGAAGGGATAACAGCAAGGATAACAACAGACCAATATGAACAGATACATGACGTTGAATCAGCTCGGGGACGGCACGTACGGGTCCGTCGTGTTGGGACAAAACATTGACACCGGAGAAAAAGTCGCCATTAAAAGGTACACTCGGATGAAATTATTGCACTCGGTGCGGCCACATCCCATGGTATTCCGGTTAACGCACAGTATTGTCCAAACACGTTATCCCAGGGACAATACTAATTTTTTTTCTGATTTTTCGTGTCATTTCGTGGTAGGGAAACATTGTATCCATAAGTTATATCGTATTTTCATTCGTTGACCGGCTCGAATAACATTTTAATTTTTCATTGCAAATCACCCATTTCACGAAACAAGTCGTTATGGACATTTCAAACTATCACAAATTGGTTTCATAGTATCAGCTATTGTAATTGTTCAAAACACCTAAAGCTTATAATAGTTATTGTAATAAATCGGTATAAATAGTAAAACGTTTTTAACAACAGAAGGCTATATTAGGTAAACCAGCATTCATTCGTCACTGTGATAGTAATATCACCGCACAAATGTGTAAACAAACCCATCAATGGAAACCCACCAAACAAATATAATTTAGTTCATACTAATGTGCCATAATGCTGAACCATCTTGTAACTAAATATTATAAACGGTAAGTAGTCGTTGAAGTTTAACCGTCTTCAAGGAATCCGATTCCGCCAAAGGATATTAAGAACAATAATATTATAGAAATAATACCGTAACCTATGTATAGTAGTGATGTACTATGAGGGGTTTATTCATATTATTGTCACAAGGAAAAATATGGTTGATAATTCTGTAAAAAGCGTATGTTATTTTTCAAATTTAATATACATTACATATAGATATTGCTTCATCGATATGCATATATGAGAGGAAATCCATAAAAATGTACCCTTGACATTCAAACTGTTGTTTAAACTCTATGAAGGGTTAAAAAAAGCTATTAAAAATGATTCTTCTTTTTTTTTAAATTTATATACATAAAGTGAGGTACCCTTGTCTACGACCTACACGCAATCTCTTCACTCTTTCGTAATAATTATAATATATACGAGTAATTAAACGTCGGAGAAACTAAAATAATGTTATTATGCGTAATAAACTTTTAATGTTTCATTATATTATTAAACAAAAAAAAAAATAAAAGTATTGATTTTATAATTTTTAAATAAAACATAGTACCTATCGTACCTATCGTTGTTTATTGTGCCAGCGGATGCAATGCATTCAATAAAGGTAGTGATATGTAAGAAGGGATAGTTATAAAATATATTTTTACCACTTATGTATTAAACGATATAACATTACTTAAACGTATAATATTAAATTAATGATAAAACAAGTAAAATATTATTGGACACGTGATTAATTGTTATTAGATATTATTAAATACAAATACGAAGTACAATTGACAGTATAAATAGGACTTCTACAAAATTGATAAAAATGATAAATATTAAATTTCTGAACACAAAAAAAGTAAATTTCTAGATTAACTATTAAAAGACATAATAAATATAATTATTAATTAATATTGAAATCAAATTAACAAAAATATATTATAACTAAGTATATGATATTAAAAAATATAATTTAATAATATTTGCTTTTAATGGAATTCTTATTTATACCATACAATGTGACCACGGTAAGCGGAAACACACAATAATAGTTATTGAGACGCAGACTTATTATATTTCAATATTTGTTTGACTAACTGTATTATATTACATTATAATATTAATATTAATATTTTTTAAATATCTGTATTTTTAAATATGTTTAATTTTTGTAGAATGAAAAGAAAATATTATTCTTGGGACGAAGCTATGAATCTGAGAGAAGTCAAGGTACTCGCTGCACTGACATTTAATTATCATGATTAAATATTATAATTTTTATTTTTCAGTCATTAAAAAAATTGAACCATGCAAATCTGATAAAATTGAGAGAAGTGATAAGAGAAAATGATACTCTCTACTTCGTGTTTGAATATATGAAAGAGAACCTGTACCAGCTAATGAGGAGTCAAAGCAAATTTTTCCCTGAACAATCCATTAGAAATATACTTTATCAGGTAAAATATAAATCGAACAAGTACAGCAATCTAAATGTATAAAGTATTTAAATTTAAAAAATTTAAAATCTTAACGTATAATGTTTAGTGATCGTCCGGATAAATTATTAACAACAATATTTTACATGCGGTAACTTAAAACATTCGTTGAGTAATATAATCAATATTTACGTGTACGACAACGTGAAATACGTAAAAACGTGTGCAGTCCCTGGGTCGATATAATATATAGATGATACACGGTCGTTTAACATTATTATTTTCATTTTCCTTCCATTTCGAGCGAAAAACAATAATCCGTACGCATATGAGTATTCAATTAGCGGTTTAACACGTATTGTCACACAACAATATTATAAAACCGAATAGCCGCGATCGAATCACCCATGGTCCATAAACACGGGTTCGTCTCACGCGGATTGTCGAAACGGTAAAAAGTGCGCGAACATGTTACGAGGTCGTTACGGGTAGGGCACGAAGAGGCATTTGGTCTCGCGCACATGGTGGGGTGCACACGTCGTCACCATTGGCGGATATTCGGGGGAGGGGCTTAGCCTCCCCTGATAACCACTAAGCCCCCCTCAAAAATGTTTGCCAAATTTTAAGAAATATTTTTTTTCAAATACTGAGAATATTTTCCTAATAATATTATATATATGTATATTATATATCTATACAACAGCGATTTATATCGAATTTATACAAATTGTTACAAGTAGCACTCATTTTGCCAGTTAGCTCTGCGACGTGTGAGCGTAATTGTTCAGATATGCGTAGAATTAAGACATGGATGAAAATTTTCATACTCCAAGATCGATTTATTAATCTATCTATTCTTCACGTTGAAAAAGACCTGACCAAAAGTATTGAAAGTGAAAATATTTTAAATTAATTCTCAAAATCCTCCAGAATGCTGGTTTTGAAATAAAATATCCGTTACTGTTATTACCTAATTATTGATAATTATTAATTGTCTTTTATGCATTGTATAATATTGTAGTATCAATAAAAAAATAGATTTTTTTTGGATAAAATAAAATTTAAATATAATGTTTATTTTAATTGGTAAATAATTGAACTCTAAAGGAGGTGTGGAGGCGAAGCCGCCAGTTTTTAGATTTATTTAAATAATTGAAGCCCCCCCCAACATTTTCAATGGATATCCGCTTATGGTCGTCCCGTTGGTCGGCACACGCCCGGGTCGTATCAGAAAACGCGCGTTTTACTCTAAACGTTATGCGAATCTGTTTTTGCGAAGATACTGCAAGGACTGGCGTTCATGCATAGACACGGTTTCTTCCACCGGGACATGAAGCCGGAGAATCTTCTGTGCTGCGGCCCCGAGCTAGTAAAGATTGCTGACTTCGGACTGGCCCGGGAAACCCGATCGCGTCCCCCGTACACCGACTACGTGTCCACACGGTGGTACCGAGCGCCCGAGGTGCTGTTGCACTCCATCAACTACAGCACGCCCATCGACTTGTGGGCTGTTGGCTGCATCATGGCCGAACTCTACACATTCCGGCCGTTGTTCCCGGGCACGAGCGAGATCGATCAGATATTCAAAATATGTTCAGTGCTGGGCACGCCCGATAAGGTAAGTTCCGATGTCGTAGAAATAATGTGTTCCGCTAATGAGTGTTTTTTTTTACTCCTTTCCTACCACGATCTGGTCCTCAGCGTTGTCCGTGGCCGTGCTAATGGCTTCGGAATCACAATTCTTCGTCCACTTTTGATTACTCGAAAAAATTGTGTAATCCGTAATCCTTTCACGAGAGATCTGACTTCTTTTGACGATCTGAAGTCAAAAAACTGGACAACTGTTCCCTTATCGCTGGGGCTTATTTTACAAGTACTTAATAATCACTACAGTGGTGATCACTGATAAACGATACGCAATTAGAGTCGGTTACAGCTATCTGGGAAATTATTAAATACATCTAAGAACAGAAAATTACGATTAGTTAAACCTAACGACAATATACTATTGCTGTCGTAATATTTCAATACTACAGTTAAGTATCTTACTGAATTCATAAATTGAACCACACATTTAATTAAATTTATTTCGGTTTATGGTAAATTCAAATTATAAAGGTTCTGGTCAAAAATATTTCAACTGTAGATCGTTTACTGCCGTTTTACGCTATTATTTTCGATTTATCGAAGGGACTGAAAAATATTTGTGTTTTTTTCGAATTATAAAGATTTTTTCCAGGAACCTTAGTTTTTTCGCAAAAAAAACATAGCTGATGTTTATACAACGACGAAACTCGTGAATCAGAGATTTCGATGGTATCCCTCAGAAATCTATATATTATTTAGTGGGTGGCTTGTGAGTTTTATAATTTTATTAATCGCCAAAGAATTCAAATATCAATGGTCGACGAGGAATAAAGTTCTTGAACGAATATTTCTAGAGTTTTCTCTTCAAACATTTTGAATACGCTCTCGTACCAGTGTCGTATACAGGGGGGATTTGTGGACATCGTATCAAACCCCTTGAGTCATGTTGTATCATATTATTATATTAATCATAAGTATATTCAATAAAATTTTAACCTTAACAAAATATCAAATTAAGATTAATTTATTATACGTTCTCCATTAACCTTGAATATAAACTTTTCTATCATTTAGGTTTAATAAAATTTGATATCACACGATTTTAAAATGACAATTGACTCCTGACCCCGAACAAACGTCATCTCTCCGCTATAATATCAACATACCCCACAAATTTATAACAACATTAATCATTTGTCTAATTTTTTTTTTAACAAATAAATATCATGATTTATGATTTAATACATTGACCTAGCTATAATATATATAATATATATAATACAATTAAACTCATATTTATCCATATATATAAATCATATACCATCCAATTTTTATAACTTTTAATCATGTAAACTTTACATTTCTCTACGAATGTAAAATTAATTTAACATTCTTACTTTATACCTGTACAGTAAAAGTATAAAAAATACATACATTTCCTATATTTTAATAGTTTGTGACACCCCTCCCCCCACTTTTATATTTTTTTTAGCAATACCCTCGATATCGGTGTCACGGATATAAAATTAAAGCAGTAACGTAACTAGGAGGGTTAAAAGAACCGTGCCTAGTCTACGTTAGTTGTATTTTAATGTGCATTTTGTTTTTGAACTGAACAAAAGAAGAATTATTATGGAATAAATATAATTTGTATAATAATTTTTAATTCGCATTTTTAAAATACTATACTAAATGGTTATTAAACATTCTTGTTTTATATTGTATGAAAAATGTTCGTGTTTGTTTAAAAAACATATTAATCTCCAAAAATACATCGATATAAGATATGATTTAGCGAATGAGAATGAATAATGTTTATTCATGTTTGAATACATATTTTTTTTAAATGTAGCATAATTTTGATTTAATTTATTAATTATTAACATGAAATTAAATTACTACGACGTTAACTATCAAAAACTATAATATAGTTCTTTATATAATATTATTATCCAAGAGTAAATTTTTACTATTTAGCTAAAATAATAAAATAAATAAAATAATAATAATAATAGTAATAATAAATAATAAAAAATAATAATTAATCTTTATAATTTAAATATTACATATGTACCTGGTAAAAATATTTTACACACTTATTTAAATAAAAATGAATAGATATAATAAGTAATTCTGTATTTGAACACAATACATGAAAGTTTATTCACATTTGTAAATGATGGTGTATTTACGATTATAATTTATAGGTATTATATGCTGAAATGTAATACAAATAAAATTGATATACTACTCCGAACTTTCATGCGTACATTTTGTTCTACGAGTAGTAATCATCGAATGGAGACACATAAATAGTGAGATATCGTAATTATATAAAATACAATAAAATATTCGTTAGATTATAAGATTTTTATGGTTGTGTCTAAACAAGAGTATTAAAATGAAAGTAAATTATTAATACATCTATATAATCATTATAAAAGCAATGAATTCCGTTTTCAACAAATTATAGTTTACATACAATATTTTACATCACGCAATATTCGTATCCCGTCTGTATTTTAACATGGGCTGTCTAAAAAAAATTAACAAAAATCACATTTCACACACACACACATACACCATAGAATTGTTTATTAGATATAGTATAATACTGAATACTAATATTAGTATCTTTTTTTTGTTATAGTTATTTAATAACATTATTTACTACCTAAATACTACTGTAATGATAGTATTATCAAATACATTACAATAGCTTATAATTTATATTAAGTAGCTATATATTAATACTGTAATTTGCAATTACAAATTTCTAACTTGTAATAAATTAATTGTCTTTATAATATATTATAATATATAAACATTATAATTAAAATCTTATACATATTTTATTTTTTTAATTTACTTATCTATTTTATTATTAATATTAATTTAGATTTTTGTTCATACATTCAAACGTATATTTTGCATAATTAACGAACAGAAATAAGTGTTCTAAGGGTAATTAATTATTACATAAATATATTATAATATTTTTTATATATGTTATATATAATATATATACTAATATATTACTTATTACTTATTATTATTATTAATAATATATTTATATATTAGTAATATTAGTATTATATTAGTAATGACAAATAAGTTTACATACAGGTATTTTAGTTTACAGAAAATACATTACGTGATCATATTTTAATACAAACGCAATTCTCAAATAATGAATGATAATAATTGAGCAGTTTTCGTTAACAAACCAATTCCTTCTGTAATAACACTTTTCATATTTAAACTTTGTAATTCATTTTTTTTTTTTTTTTTATTATTATAATGATTGTGTAATATACTAACAGACTGAATTATAGGTTCATGAATATATCAATGTATAATCAATGTTCACCAAATGCAATGCCGCAATCTGATTTTATGTCAATATAATATGCATGTGATTCATATACAATACTTAGCGTACATAATGTACATAGATAACAAATGCTTAATTTATACCACTAATTCAATACATTTTAGCTTACGGTTTATCTCGAATAAAATAATGCATGATTTTTTACTTTTTTCATCATTTCAATTATAGAATAAATATTATTTTTTCATTACAAGTTTAAATTCGTTAAAGTCGGTATTAATTATATTAATTACATATTGTTTGAAATATAAATTTGGAATTTCAACTATAGGACATTGCACTTAAATGTGTATTGGTAATGTTACGTATGTCTAATATTGTACTTTATCGGAAGTATCAGTCTGTAACTGACACTGACGAACCATAACGGTAATATAACTTATTATGTTATGAAATAATTAACCGACATAACTATTTTATAATTTCAACAACGAAGGATAGACCAAAATCTAAGTGTTTACACCGTAATAAAAAAAAAAAACGTAATTTGGTACATATATTTTCTCTTTCCTTTATTTGTGTATAGGTACATTAATTGTACAATTGTACATTGTATATAGATACACACACATTACACTTTTATTGAAAATTATAAGCATTGTTTATAATTTTATACGTTTACAGCTGACCCGATGTTCCTATAAATATTGAATTCGAATTACAATAATTCATAAAAAAAAATAATTATTCCAAAAACATTTTGTGTTCATTATTCTAATGCTTTACAATACACTACATTCTTAGTTTTATTTTCTGGTAAGTATATGAATAGTTTTGTTGGTATTCCGACACGGGAACAGGTGACATACAACTGGCCATGTAAAAAAACATCGATTTTCAAGATTGATGCCACAAACATTTAATAAATGCCCTTGCCACTTATTTATCGACATTGCAAATAATAGCCGCACTAAAAATTATAACCATTTGAAGTCGAATGTCGTTCGGTAATAAAGGAATCCAAGAAATTAAAACATCTTCGTCTTTGTACTTCCCTCCCAAATTTGATGACGGCGTTAATTAACTTCTTCACCAAAAGTCGGATGCTATATCCCGCAACATATTTATTACCAATCCGATTTTTCTTTGTAGATTATGAGTTGGTAATCCGGATAATTCCAGTGAATATATAAGAATATAAGAATTCCGTTGAATAGTTGACAACATCATCTTGGTTAATAGCGCAATTAATCGATTTGTACCTCATCAATTTGCCAATTATCTTATTTTGAATTAGAAAATTAATTTCGTAGACATTGACGTTTTTTGCAGCCAATATAACTCGTTCACTCAATTAAACATGATTTTTGTAATTTTGAGCAATGTTTGGAGCAACCTCGATGAGTTCGATCTTTAATTCAGTAAACTGACAAAAATTTGGTAGGGAATGTAATGTATCCAGAAGACGAGTCAACAGGCATTTTTCCATTACCAAAATCGAACATTTGTTTGGAAAAAATTTCTCCAGATTGGTCGTTCTGTAATTCAACTCTCATGTTCATATAACATTTGAGCATTTTAACGTATAATTATACAAATAATTTTCAAGTCCTGTTTAAAATGATGCTAAGTTATACGTATATAAATATATAAAGTCATAAATAATGCTTATAACTTTCATAAGGTGTATATTAACATCGTTTTAAACAGGACTTGAAAATTATTTGACGTATAAGTTATACGTATAAACCACAATTACTTATTAGGATTTCGGTTATGTTACGTAATACATCTTTAGGTATTGGATATGTGACTACCTGAAATTTAAACGCCAAAGTCCATCTTTAAGTGATATATACATATACATATACAAACCATAATTACTAATACATTAAAAAAAAACTAACTCTAACCTGTAAATACCTACCATAACACTGATAATGGCCTAAACTACCGCGAGTAGGTTAAAAAAAAAGAATGACCGTTGCAGTCGATGTTTGTAAAATAAATCAATAAAAAAATAAAAATAAACGTTATATATTATAGTATAGATTATTATTTTGTTTTGTTTACCTACGTCATGAAATAAAACAGAATAAAATATTTTTCGAACTATGATAACACGCAATTTTCTACGGTCTTAAAAGAAAATCGGGTAGTATGCTCTATATGATTTATTGTTATTTTAAAACTGCACGAGTTGTGTCTTGAATATGTACAGACTTTATACATTCGTGTTCAAAATTACTTAGCATGTTATAATGAGACGTATAATGCACAGGAAATACATGGCATATGCCGTGATGACATAAATTAGGTATACATTTAAACGTAAGGTGAAAACTTGTTTCCATGCATATGGAACTCATCGAGTACAGAAATATGTAATAAATAATAATTATTTGTAGTAATGAAACATGACATAACATAATATACGAGGTTAAAATTTTTTTAAAACACTGTCTTAATCAATTAAATACAGGGTGGGGTAGTGGGTCTGACCAATTTTAAGTTTATTATTCGAAACAAAGTTTGATTTCAAACAAACCCCACAAAAATAAATCGAGTAGCGTTAAAGCAGGAGACCAGTCAATATCACCATTGCGCGAAATCACATGATTCAGAAAATTTTTTCTAAGAACAGCCATTGAAATACACACTGTATGGCTGGTAGCAGCATCTAGTTGGAACCATGGTTCGTGATCTTTTACTTCTAATCGTTGTAATTCGGCTGACAACAAGTAGTTCAATATTTTCACATAACGTGCAGATGTTACAGTCAGTCATTATGTGATTTCGCGCAACGGTGAAATTGCTTGGTCATTATGTTCTCCTGAATTTTTTTTTGTGTGGTTTTTTTTAATGTAAAGAGTTCACTAATAAACCACACATACTATTAGATTTTAAATAAAATATTAAACAGAAAACTACAGCCATCGATGTGCATATCTTACAAAGGGTTATAGGCAATATCAAGAAACGTATGTACAAAATTAAAGTAGCCACTTAAGTAATTTAATTTTTATAAATTAAGATTTTGGTTAATAACAATTAAATATAATCATTATGTTGAATAAAACAAAATTTGAGATTCATTTATTTGTTTCTAATACTTAACCAATAAACTTAAATTAAAACTCATTAGAACCCACCACCCACGCTATATTAATGTTTTAAATTATTTGTAATTTGGAATACTATTTATATATTTTTTTACATATTAAATTACTGAATGTTTCACTTTATGTACATATTTTACATATTCTTCAGCTAATGTTTCATAAAAACTTTACCAAATTTTGATTCCAAATAAACGAAATATAATGTTAAAATAAATTAACTAATAGATCATCTACTCGTATATTAGCGAATTTTAAATTTTTTATTCAATCCTATAGTGTGATATATGTAATAAAGTATAAAGAAACGAATTTAAACGGACATTTTTACGTTAAAAAAACATGATTATAAATCATGGTATAAATTTATATTAAATTGTATTTTCCTCATTGATATTATTTTTATTACAGAAAGAATGGTTTGAAGGTTACCAGTTAGCATCAGCTATGAATTTCAAGTTTCCTCAATTTAAACGTTTAGCACTGAACACAGTTGTACCAAATGCAAGTCGTGATGGAATACATTTGATGGAACTGTTTTTAAGTTGGAATCCGATTAGAAGACCCAGCGCGCAAAGTGCCTTAAGGTATTGTTGAATACATAATATTTATAATCACTATACTTATTTATTCGTCGAGTATAAATTCTAAAGCTCCACTATCTATACGATCACGCAATAGCATACTTAAAAGCACTAATGTGGGTAATTGGTATATTATCTACTTTCTCAGAACTTTTTTTTTTAAATATTATTTTATATAATTTTATGGTTTTATCATTTATATTTTCAAAATCTTGGCAGTTTCAACTTGAGAAACTTGAAAGTTATTGTTCATTAAAGATAGTTATTCGGAAATTCTCTAATGTGTGCGTTTCTTTTTTAGAGTTGTGGTTTTAGATAAGAAAAACTCATTTTGTAAAAAAACCAACTTAAATAAAAAAAATTTATTAAAATATATTTATACTAAAATGCTTATATTTTGCAAGTTTTTTCATAACTCATGACAGAAACATACACAAAACAATACCTATTTCGGTTAATATTTTTGTCGCATTGTACAAACAAAATTATCCATTAATTTCTTAAGGTATTATATTGATCTTTTTAATGTAGCAAATTAAGCAGAAAATCTAATACACTATATAGAAAATAAGGGATTATTTCAATACTTGATAAATCGATGTACAATCTAAATGCAAATGTAAAAATATTTATAAAGATGTACGTGATAAATTACACTTAATGAGGAACATTTGTACAGTATAAAGTGTATGGTTTAGACCGTTCTTCGTCGCACGAAATTAACGTTAGTGTCGCGTATTGTAAACAATAAAACAATTACGAAAACAAATAATAATGTCGCTGTAAATATGATACGATAACGTGTATAATGTCTGTGTCACCCTGTGAATGACATTTGGTCGTTTTATTTGTATTTTAACAGTACATGATACAGACACGCACGTTTAAAATATTATTCACGTACGGGTAAAAATACGGCTAGTTATACATAATGACGTGTGTACCGTGTATTATGGATTTCAAACAAAAATTGCATACGTATACAATATTGCAGGCAACCGTACTTCCAAGTGGGACAGCAACGTCTGAATCCGGAAGCTGGAGAGATGTCCTACGCGAAGATCGGTCAACAAAAACGACAACCCGTGCAGCTGATGAAATCTCAAATATCGCTTTTACAGTCCAACAACCATAAACAGCTCAAGTCAGTATGATAAAAACACTAATGACACCTCACATATAGGTGGAATAACGATCATAAAACTGTGCGTGGGTGCACGTGCAGATATTTGTGGTCACGGTGCATCGATACGCGATGCTAAAACGCATTGTTTAGATTGTGTGTAACTTTTACAGATACGAAAACAAATGGGAAACAATGGCGGTTAAGCCGATCAACAACAAAAATAAATCATGGTACGATAACGATACGGACGTGAAGGTGCTGAGTAAAAAGAAGCTGAGCGCGAAAGAACATTACCTATCCGTGGCCAGATACGTGACAGGCAGGGCTTCCAACTTTCAAGCAACTGAGAATGAGTAAAAGATTATTATTTGTCAATAAAATTATGATATATATATATATATATATATATATATATATATATATATATATATATATATATATATGTGGGATTAATATAAAATAATAACGTAATTCGAATAGACTTAGTATATTTTAACACAACTGACAAATAACCACGAATCACAAGCTAGCCACAACGACAACACAACAACACATTCGCTCGTCACCCGTCAGTCATCGAAACATCACTGGTGTTTATCAGACCGGTCACCACATTTCCTTGGTCCGGCTTAATGTCATCAGTGATACCACCCCACATATATATATATATATAAACATTTATATGTCACGTTCACTTAGTGAAATCACTGGTTTCATGAAGTAAATGTCCACTTCAAGAAATGTGTTTGATTAGTGAAAAATACATCTTTTTTTATATTACATAAACATTTTTTCGATATTTTCATAAAATAACTATAGAAAAAATAAAAGAGGGAAAACATAAATATTAATTAATATGTTATACATATATATTAATCATATTTTTTTATATCAAACCGTAAAATGTACATAAAAATACAGATTTTGTAATATGATGTAAAAAAAATGTTTATTATATACTGCAATTATTATCTGGATTATTTAGACCAAGGTGGCTGTGGCCCACGAATCCTTTTTTTTGCCCTCTTCTATAGAAGACTATTAAAAAAAAAACAAATAACAATAAAAGTATAAAAAAATCGTTATATGATTGTATACTCTTTATGTTTTTTACTATAAAACGTAGGTATACGTGTAATGAGTAACGTCGAAAACCATGAATAAATTCAGCTCACCACGTATGTAGGTGTCATGTTTTTATAGTAGCCACAGAGAATCCGATTTCTTGTGTTGGAAAATCGTGGAAGTCATTATTAGTTAGCGATTATTGACTGGAGGATTTAATGAATAACAATATTAATTTTTTATTATTTTATTTACGGTTTTTTTTATTACGTTGAGAAATACATTAAAAATAATACCTGTAAATTAATTTATAATTTATTAATGAATTATTATTGTTGTTAATTTTATGTAAAACTGTTATTATACAGAAATATTTCGAAAAGTATGAGAAATGATACGTTTCCATCCGTAAGCAAGGTGTCTTATAGTCAAAGCGATAGAAATAGAAATGGTAAACGACAAGCAGGTGGAAAAACTGAATGGACATCGAAGTAAGTAGACTATTGTTCTTTATTTATAATTCGATAACAATAAGATGAAAAAAATAATATTTCAAAATATTATTTCAGGTACTTGGAATGAATTTTGTATTAAATTAGTTAAAATCAAAATCTGTATTTAATCAAACCAAAAAAAAAAAAATCAAAACAATTTATTTTTATATCCTCTGCCATTTACACGAATAATTCTTATAATAATATCACATATATTTTACATTAAGTTTGATTACTCGTATATTTTTGTGTAAAAAATATTTAGATTTTTCGTATAGTCATTGTAGGAATTGCAAAGATTAAAATTAATTAAGAGTAAACCGAAATTATCAAATAAATGTATAACAGTATTTTAATACATAAATAATTTAATATAAAATAAATTATTAATATTTATAACATTGCATTATGAAGTGCATACAAAACCCTACGCACTTTATACCTACATATCATATCATCAACAAACAGGGTTGCCAACTACCAAATTTAAAAAAATCGGGTTTAAATACAATTGAAAATATACAATATTTATCAGCATAGTTTTCAGATACTCCACTTACTGCTTTATTAAGATTCTTTAATAAAAAGAAAACTGCACCGCTTTAAGGAAAATAACTATATATTTGTCTATCATCTACACATTATAAAAACATACTCGTCGACATTTTCACATACATTTTAGTATGGTCTCCTTCTGGAGGACAGTGTCACCAACATATTTAATCAGTCTAAACTTGTATTTTAACGAATTTATTGAAAGTTCATTGATATAAAAAACCCTTTACTTAAATAGGTAATAATATAAATTAATAATTATTATTAATATTTAATAAACATAAGCAATAAAGGAATCATTGGAATAATAACTTTGTCATCAATGTCCATTTTTCTGAAAACTTAACTCAAAAGATACTTAAGAAGGTTTATTTTACAATTTACTAATAACAACTAATAACATTTAGAAATAACAAAAATAATATCAAAAAATATATAAATGTATAATCGTTATTTTTTCATTATCAGTAATATGTGCCATATGTGTCTGGGGTCTGCTGCTGTTAATCGGCAGTTGCAAAACACTGGACCATGCGCGCCCGCAGGGGGACCAAAGGGGTCATTGCCTCTACTGGGAATTTTTGTTTCAAAACTATTGTTAATTTAATACCACGTATATTAATTAAAACATAATTTTATTGAGATTCATTTATGAAATTTAGTAAAGTTTATTAAATTTTTAGATAATCTAAAATGTATAATCTTGAAAGTATTAACTAGATTATAATGTTTACACATCGCTTAAGACTATAAATTCTCCCGAGTACCGATTTCTATCGTATTTGATTTTGTTCTCATCTATTTTTAGATACACGTTGTTTTGGTCCTTATAATTTTAATCTTTCCCTGGGTGGGATTTTATCATGCAGGCACGCTTGCACTGAACAGTTATACAGTGCTACCATATGACAACGAAAAAAAATATTGCACTAACAATTGAATCGAGTAAAAAACCAATAAGGTATAATGATAAATCATTGAAAACATAAATTTATTTATGAAAAATAAAATAACCAGTTTAATGTAAAACCAACAGCCGAACTTGTTATTAAAAAATTGGTTAGTCCGACCAAAATCCGGTTGGTTGGCAACTCTGTCAACAAACATTTTAGGACCTAACGGTGATGCGGTTATTCAATAATTGAAGGGTGGGTGGGAATAATGTGCTATGTAACAATTCGTAAATTTTACAGGAACGACTAAAAATGAAAAATGTGTCATACATTTATTTAAATGTTATCTGGAACGCACGTATCACGTTCTTACATATTAAACTATTTTTTTTTTTTTTTATAACGTGACCATTATATTATTTTTTTGTGAACTGTGTTCATTTATGAAACAAACAAAATTTCAAATTTATGTTGCATAATCGTGATATCCGCACGTTACGCGTCGTGTCAACTTACTCTGAACAGTGAAGTTTGTACACGATGATTGTGTTCGATAAAAATATTTTAGGAATTTTACAATTTTTAAAATATATCGATATTGCTTCGTGTTTGTTTTTTTTTTTACACGATAAAATAACAAGAATTATGGAAACTGATTTATTCAGATTGAAAATATTGTTAAATAATGTTACAATATAAATATAAGTAAAAAGATTATTATACTAAGAGAGATTCTGTTGTTTGACATCCCAAGCCACGACTGCCTAGACCAGGGATTCCCTACCATTTTACTCAGCGTCCAACTGCAAGGCTTGCTGTTCTACCCAGTGTCGAAGAGGAAGAGGATGCTGCCTAACCATTTTTCTGTCATTGTTTATTTTAAAACGTATTATTTTATTGTACACTTATACTGATTTTATTTACTATAGTAATTGTGTTGTTTAATTTTCTATTTTTTATGTCTATGTATCATTTCTACATTTGAAAGGCCTGTATCCTTTCAAAGAGGAGTGGGAGAATGTTCGTGCCAATATGGCATTGCATGTGTGTAGATAATCTTTTTTCGTATCGATTCTTATCGCGATTCTTATAGAGACCGTGCAGACAACGGAAAACGGCGCTACGTAGTGGATAATCTGCAAACTAGTTAGTAGCAACAGTTTCGTACTCGGTACATACAAATTTCACTATTAAGTGTTAATATTTGCTTATTTTACTGTTTTATTTGAACTTTCCTTTAACAATGAGCGAAAATAAAAAGAAAAGTGGCCAAAAAATGTATTGTGTTGTGCATTATAGCAATACATACAAGATTGGTCATAAATTATTTAACTTTCCAAATCGACAGCATGAAAAAGAACTTAAAGAAAAGTGGGTAAAAAGTATTAAAAGAATAAAGTAAGTTTTTTTTTTGTCTTACCATGTGCTAATATTATAGTACTTTTAATTTCTCTACCAATAATGTGTGTATGTCCGCAGTATTGATGGAACACCATGATGCGGTACCGTGATGTCGTAAGTACAATATGTACACCGACACCGCGCACCGCGTTAGCTTTTCTCCAGCCACATCCCGGGTGGCGATAATATCGCACCAACACTTTCCTACCTACCTCGGACACCGGGCAGAGGGGGAAAGCTTTTGATGCCGATAAGGTAGCGCACCAGTAGCCGGCGGGCGGTGTCTACGGAGGAGGCCCCCATCTTACGACGGACACCGGTTTGGTCAACACCGACACACCGACTCCACCACCGTCACCAGAGGACCACATTCCGTACCTGTTTTGTTTTTGTTCGCTTTGACAATAAACTCGTGAAAAACATATTCAGTTCGGCTTCGTGGTTTTTCTTTTTTTCTTCTTTTTTTTTTTTAAAAAAAAACACGATCCATTTCATTCAACTCTGACCGGCCACCTCACCGAGGGAAAACCTACCACCGACTTGAGGCCGTGTCAACCATGGATACCTACATCCAATTCAGTAATATGTAGTGACCATTTTGTTGGAAATAAGCCAATAAGACATCCAAATAGTCCTACTTATATAAATTTTAAATTTAACTTACATTTTTATATCATATATAAACTTAATGAATTAAAATAATTAGTTAATTTGCCTAACCTTGATCATTTATACTGTTATTGCTGAATACTGATGGGCATAGGCGCAATTAGGTGGGGACATGGGGAGTCTTTGCCCCCTAAATATTTGGATAGCCCCCTCAAATATTATTATTATTTCAGATATTATAAATGTTGCACATTCCATAACCAAAATATACTCGCATTGCATTTGTTGTAGCTCCCCCAAAAAATTGACCCTAGTTGCGCCTATGCTAATAGGTATATGATTAAAATATTAAAGAAGTTTGAAGTTTTAATTTTTTTAAATACTTTATAATTTATAGTTGATACAATAATACTGCTAACGAAAATAATTATTTGACAACTAAATTATGATAGTATCTACGAAAAATTAAATATAATTATATATATAAATAGATTATAGGTGTGGGGAATGTGAATTATAATATATTTGCAAACTAAGAATTGTTTTTCTTGCTTCGCTCGAAATTTCATTACTTATTTTTCGATTTTGCACTTTTGCAGACTTTTATTAAAAATATTATGACCAATGAGTCTGAGAATATGATTGCGCGTAAAATCGTCGCTACCAAGTTGCACGTGAGTTATCTCCTCAGAGCGCTAGTTGTCTTTCTGCACGGTGTCTTTCTGTACTGCATTGCTGTGCGGTCGACGATGGCCACAGCTTTCATGGGTTGATGATCGCCCAGTGCGCGCGTGAGACCATTAATTTCCGTGTATATCCACAGCCATCGCCGGCGGCGGTGATAAGCCTCCATTTGCGACCGGTCGGGTACTTAATCGCATTGTTATCGTCGCACGTAAATGTATCCGTTATTCCACGTTTTCATTACTTGTCGGTTATGTTCCAAAAACGTCAGTCATATTCTCAGTGCCACAAAGTTTCATAATTATAAGTCAAAATAAATCGCACATATAAACTCTTCGTTGATCTTACGATCGGTGCGCATGCACTGACGACCTAAGATCAAAAGCTCTGTGAAGAGTGGTGTGTGTTCCTGTTATATAGGGACACGCGGCTGCATGGATCTTGGTCGGTCCTTTGAATATAGGGATATCAATAGCATTTATTGTTCGACCCGTGTTGTTCGTGCAGGTATCGAAGATACCGTTATTTATTTATTTGAAATGGTTTTAAAAATCACGATCATATAAATATTATACATAATAAAATACTTGTGCCGTCTTTTACAATCGAATGATGCACATCATTACAATCTACAGCCATTTTCGTCAAACCACGTTTTCTGTGTTTTCGTGTCTTTTATGTAGGCAGACAACTAACCTTACCAGACGGGTAAGTGTCGTTCTGCGCAATTATTATTGCCTTCATTTATAGTCATCGTGTTCTAGGGTGATGGTCACTTACCAACAGCCGTTGTGATAAACGTGGTTTTCATTCATATTATCTTCGTCTGCGTTGTAGACCTTCTATCTTCGTTGATGACTATGCTTGGGCGGTCGCACGTACCAATTTTATGACTTATTTTCATCTATACACTGCGAATGTGCCTTCGTAGGTAATTGTCTAGTCACAGGGTTGGTGCGGTCACATGGATACA